CTGGACGTGTGAATATGCAGAGGGCGCTGAACCTTGTGCCAGTGGCGGAAGCCAGGAGGGAGGACCCAGTCCAGCACAGACTCGACTGGGACTTGCCCACATTGGCTGCTTTCCTGCCTCCAAATCTTTTTTTTTTTTTTGGAGGAAAGGACTTGCCTGTTTGGCTGGTCATCCTGGGTAGAGACGGAGCTCTGTGAAAGCTCCCTAAACTGGATGGAAAACAAGCCCCTCCCCCCATGCCCCTCCTCTCACACACTTTATCACAATTGGGATCATTATTATCATCATCCCCATTTTACAGGCGAGCTTTGAGCTCAGGGGATTTGTTCAAGGTTATGTATCAAGTTTACAGGCTTGAGCCTGTGGGAAAAAAATGCTGCAGGATCCTCACTTCACTGTTAAGTCAAATCATCTTTAGCCCATTCTCCATTTACTTTTCCTAGTAAAATTGAGTTCCATAGGCCACAGAACAGAATCCCAGAGATTAGTCTTAAAAAATGTTAAAAAATGTAAGTCTTCATAATCAACAAAAGGAGCCTCAGAAAGATATGGCAATATTCCCTCTCTCCTGCGGACGATGTGGAGGGAAAGACACTGTTTTGCATTTTAAAATTAAGCCAAGGGGAATTCCCTGGCGGTACAGTGGTTAGGACTCCGCCAAAACAAAGCCAAACAATCTAGTTGGACAAGGTATTAAATTAAGATCTTTCTCAAGAACGGATATTGGAGATTTGTATGAATGTTTGTAACTGGTAACTCATTTTTTCTGTCTTCTGTTAGAATAAATCTGCCCTTGTAAGTATCATTTAAACAGGAGGGTTTTGTAAGTCTTCTAAGACTTTGGACATTGTTGCCATACCTCATAAAAACTACCTCTTAAAAAACTGTCATACTGATTGGCTCCTGCTATATGGGTTGAACTATGTCACCCCAAAGATGCTGAAGTCCTAACCCCCATCTCCTGCCCTGTACCTGTGAATATGACCTTATTTGGAAATGGGGTCTCTGCAGACGATCAAGTTAAAGCGAGGTCATTAAGGGTGGGCCCTAACCCACTATGCTAAGGGGAAATTTGGACACAGAGACAGACACGCACAGAGGGAAGATGATGTGAAGACATAGGGAGAATGTCACCTACAAGCCAAGGAACACCTGAGGCCACCAGAAGCTAAAAGAGGGGCCTGGAACAGATTCTTCCTCACAGCAATCAGAAGGAACCAACGCTGCTGACATCTTGGTCTCACACTTTATGACCTCCAGAACTGCGACACAATAAATTTTTGTGCCACTCAGTTGGTTACAGCAGCCCCAGGAAATGAAAACTGCTGTCCCGAATACAGTATAACCATTACTGTAGTTCCTTATCAGTCACATATCTGTTAAAACAAGACAGTATCACTAAACATTTTTCTCCTCTCCCCCATGCACGGCAGAAAAAATAAAAACCCTCAAATAACTTGAATCTGTTTCATATAAATGGACAGCCCTGATCTGATTACAAGTCCAGTGCACTTCCATCCCACCACAGCTGCACCAGGGCACAGCTACCTGTTTGTTTTTCTTCTGCAGTTAACCTCTGCTCTTTCCTTTTGGCTGCTCTTCTCATTAATTTATAAGCGCTCTTTTAAAAATTAGGTTCTGTGCACAAAGAATGTCGCCTGCAGTATCAGTAAACAAAGGATGTTGTAACCATCAAGTCATGAGTCCCTGCAGCTGCCCACAACTGTGCACCCTGAGGAGAGTCAGGATGGAGAAAAACAGGATACTGGTCCCTAGTTAAGATGCGTATCAAAGGGATAATTTCAATAAGCCCAGACTCTTGCATCTTCCCATACATAGAAAAGTGCTAAACTCATTAACTTGAGATGTCTGTTTTTTTTTTTAAAATTAGCAGTAATCTTTTGATGTTCGATGACCTGTTTTGGGATTTTTTTTGTTTTGGGTTTTTTTTTGTGTGCCCAAACTACTATATATCCTGGCTCTTCCCTTACCTCTTTGGACCAGTCCCTCAGAGCTATCTGAGAAGCTGTATCCCGGGCTTAAGTCCTCAGTAAGTCTGCTGAATAAACCATAATTCTCAACTTTTAGGTTATGCATTTTTTTTCAGTTGACAGTCCCTTATGTCTGTTTTTTTATTTTTATTTTTTTGCAGTACGAGGGCCTCTCACTGCTGTGGCCTCTCCCGTTGCGGAGCACAGGCTCCGGACGCGCAGGCTCAGCGGCTCATGGCTCACGGGCCCAGCCGCTCCGCGGCATGTGGGATCTTCCCGGACTGGGGCACGAACCCGCGTCCTCCGCATTGGCAGGCGGACTCCCAACCACTGCGCCACCAGGGAAGCCCCCTTATGTCTGTTTTAGATGTTGCAAATATTTTCTTCCAGCCTGTCATTTACCTTTTTCTCACTTTTTTAAAGGTATTATTTTTCATAGATATTTAAAATTGTTATGTAGCCAAGTATAGTAACCTTTTCTTTTATGGCTTTCTCCATTCCAAGATCCCCCAAAGCTCCTTTTCCCCCAATATCTTTTAGTTTTGTTTTTTATATTTAGGGATCAGACTTCATTTTTTTCCAGTTGGATAGCTATATGATCCAGCACCACTATAGTTTTTTAATTGAGGTATAATTGACCAGCACCATTAACTGAATAATACAACCCCTCCCAGTTGTGAAATGCCCCTTTTATCATAAATTCCTAGAGGCATGGGTCTGTTTCTGGCCTTTATTCACATTCTGACTTCATTTGCCTTTCTTTAGCAATGGGCCACAGAAATGCATATGCAAAAATGCTGCAATGGCCCAGATGGTGGCCAAGTGGTAGAACGCAGGCCTGCTTCCTGGGGGTTACCACTTGGTCCTCTGATGCCGTGCAGAGATGCGGGGGGCCAGATCTTCCAAGGTTTCAAGAGGTGCTGGACATCCAGATTTTTATATGAAATCTTCTGTTTTGAAAGTGGTGGCAATTAATTTTTTACATTTAAAAAACATTAGGTGGGGCTCCCCTGGTGGCGCAGTGGTTGAGAGTCCGCCTGCCGATGCAGGGTACGTGGGTTCGTGCCCCGGTCCGGAAAGATCCCACATGCCGCGGAGCGGCTGGGCCCGTGAGCCATGGCCGCTGAGCCTGTGCTCCGCAACGGGAGAGGCCACAACAGTGAGAGGCCCGCGTACCGCAAAAAACAAAAAACAAACAAAAAAACACATTAGGTGGACAAAATATATTTGCAAATTGAAAGCAGTTCTGTTCCAGATGCTGAAATGTGTTAATGAAGAGTAAGGCTGGACCGGGTCTAGGTGTCCACTCCCGCTATCTCCACTGCGACCCTAAGGACCAAAGGAGGAAGACAGATGCAGCAGCTCCGGAAGCCTAGGTTATTTGTGGCCACCACCGGGAAAGGCAGTAGTGTCGTGCCTCATTTCACCTCCCACCCACACGAATTGATGATGTGGTTCCTGGTTTGCTCCGCAACCAGGAAGTCAGCATGTGGGGAGGGCTGACAACATCAGTCGAGTTGGGCCTCTAAGGCCCTGCTAGCCTGAGCAATACAGAAAGGATGGAACGTGAGGTGCTGGCCAAGGATAGAGCAAGATTCTGGTCCCCCCCAAACAAGCTGGAAAGTGATATCACCTCCTTTCTAATAATAATGCAGCCTTCCTGGATATCCAGCTTAACACTGTTTAATCAGCAAAGGAATGGCAACGGACAGAGATCTCCAAAGCTCACAAGGAGGATAAGATCTGCTGATAGCAAGGACAACTCACATCTAGAACTTCACATGCATTATCTCACTGTCTTTCACAAAGACCCCATGAGGTAGGCGGCATCAGGACTGTTCTTGCCTCTTTCAGAAGAGGAAACCAGCGCCAGGGGCAATCAGAATGGTTTTGAGATGCAGGAAGAATGAACGGGAGAATAAGGGACTGCAGCCCCCTTCTCCTTCCAGTGTCCATCTCTGAAGAATCATTTGTTCACTCAGCAAATCCTTTCTGAACACCTCTGATGGGCTATGTACTCTTCCAGGCCTTGAGAATACAGCAGTGCACAGATCCTGGGCATTACTCTCCCCTTTACTCTGAACTATGACCCAGACTGGCCTTTGCTCTATTCTTCTCTGGTTGGAGCAGTGACCTCAGGCCAACTTTTGTATTTTGCTCCGGAGTGCTTAGTTGTTTCCCTACTAGTCACTTCCTGGAATGCACTGACCCTTTCCAAGAATACATGTTGTGCTGTGCCTGAGGTATAGAAAACTGGCAGACTCAGACCCAAATCCCAGCCATGCCTTAATTTTGACCTATTTTTAAAATATGTTTCAGACACATCACACAATAATCCCTGTGGGTGCCATTCTGAGAGCGGGCATGGTGCATCAGGTTTCTCTTGAAGCAGGCAATCTCTAGGGCATGTCAGATCAACCTCTTTTCTTCTCGTTATTTGTCCTTCACCTACATCTTTTTCTCTGATGCCCCCATCTTTTGGGTTATGTGTCTAGAAGCAGGAACAGGCACTAGATATATGTAAGGCAGTCCCACCAGCTCTACAGGCCTCAGACCCCATCAGTTCATGTTCTGCAGGCAAACATACTCTTCCACTGACTGTAGTTGGTAGAACTGCAGCCCCCCAAAAAGATACGTCCAAGTCCAAACCCCTGGCACCTGTGAATGTGACCTTACTTGGAAAAAGGGTCTTCACAGATGAAATTAAGGATCTTGAGGGACTTCCCTGGTGGCAGAGTGGTTAAGAATCCCCCTGCCAATGCAGGGGACACGGGTTCGAGCCCTGGTCCGGGAAGATCCCACATGCCATGGAGCAACTAAGCCTGTACGTCACAACTACTAAGCCTGTGCTCTAAAGCCCGCGAGCCACAACTACTGAGCCCATGTGCCACAACTACTGAGCCCGTGTGCCACAACTACTGAAGCCCACAGACCTAGAGACCGTGCTCTGCAACAACAGAAGCCACGGCAAGGAGAAGCCTGCACACTGCAACAAAGAGCAGCCCCCGCTCGCTGCAACTAGAGAAAGCCCACTCGCAGCAACGAAGACCCAATGCAGCCAAAAGTAAATAAAAAGGATCTTGAGATGAGATCATCCTCAATTAGGATGGGCCTTAAGTCCAATGACATAGATTTGGTGTCCAACAGTGTCCTTGTAAGAGACAGAAAAGGAGCACACAGACAGAGGGGAGAAGACCCACGTGCAGACGAGGCAGAGACTGGATTTGTGCTACTCTAAGTCCAAGGGATGCAAGGACTGCCGGCAGCCACCAAAGGAGAAAGGCATGGAATGGATTCTCCCTCAGAGCCTCCAGAAGGGACAAACCCTGCCAACACCTTGACTTCAGACCTCTAGCCTCCAGAACTATGGGTGCTGTTGTTTTATGCCTCCACGTTTGTGGTAATTTTTTATGGCAGCCTGAGATCAGAGACCCATGTTGCTTTCCCCCTATGAGCCAGGACTACCATGGACAGCTTTCCTGAGAGTGTGGCCTTCATTCTTTTCATCTGGGGCCTTGGCAACAGTTCTCAGGTGGCTACATGGTGCCCAGAGGCAGGTGTCTCTTCACCAGCAGAAGAGACCTGGGGCCCCTTGGGAGGTGCTGGGCTCCGCAGCTTTGGGAGGTGTGGAATTGACGTCCTCGTCCATGTCAGATCGGTCTGCTCCGGCCTCAGCTCTTTCTTCCTGCCTGATCCAAAGGCTGCTTTCTAGCTGTTCTTCAGCAATTTCTAGTTCTTCTTCTGTTTGTAAAACAGCCACGGTTTCCCGGGGTAAGTGTGAGGAATAGAGTCCAAATTTGGCTTTACAACCAAACATCGCCTCATATGGACTTTGCTGCAAGGAGACATCAAAGGCCCGATTCCTTACCATCTGCATGAATCGCAGGCCCTCGGCCCAGTGATGTGAATGGTTACTCTGCATCCAGGCACTTAGCGTGTTCTTGACATCACGGCTTGCTCGCTCCAGGGGGCCCTGGCCTTGGCCAGGGTGGTACTTACCAGGGACAATCTTTAGGTCTGGCCATACCTCATTGAGCTCATTGACAACCTGGTTTGTGAACGCCAAGCCACTGTCAGATTCTAACATCGTGGGTGTACCAAGGATTGTGAAAATATCCAACAGGACAGCGACCACCTCATGGGCCTGTTTGGCTTTTAATGGCCGTAAAATAATAAACTTGGTCAAGTGGTCCTGGTAATATAAAATAAACTTGAACTCACCATCAGCATTTGACTGCATGTCAAGGATTTCAACTTGGCATCTGGAGTCAATGTCCTTAAATGGCATGGGCTTGGGTGCGAGGCCTCTCTTGGATACTGGGTTCTTCTGGTGGCACTGTTTACACAGAGTCAGGTATAAGACAATGACTTCTTTGGTGACGTTCCCATATTTTCCTTGAAGCTCCTTGAGCATGCGCGTCCGCCCGCCATGGCCAATACTGAGATGCGTGTCGTGAAGAATGTCAAACAGCTCTTCCTTGTGTACATAATACCGTATTCGATCTCGTTCTCCGTGAGTCGCCTCTATTAGTTTCTCTGTGCCTTGTACAGAGATCACGTCATATTTTGCTGCACGGCGATAATCACGTGATGACTTCCTCCCCTTCTCCTTAGCTTCTTTCACTTCCTTTATTGTTTGAAAGTACTTTTCTTTGGAAAATACCTTGCTGTTGTAACTTTTGCTTTCCACTAACTTTGTCACGCTGATGAGAAACTTTTCTCTCATGTTACTTATCTCCTTTTCCATTTCACTTGGATTTGAAACCCCAGGGGGATCATTTCCAGCTCTCTGTGGCATCATGGAGAACTAACTGGAAGAAGGATCCTAAGAAAGGTAGAAAGAAACAGAACGAGGTTAAATTTGCTGATATTCCATCTGGAAGACTTTCCCTCTAAAGTTCCTCATCAACTCTTTCATCTGATTTTTGAACATATGGAAGAAGAAAGATTACTAAAGTAATGGTATAAAGCAATAACAGAATAAAGATAACTAGAGGGACTTCCCTGGTGGCACAGTGGTTAAGACTCCGTGCTCCCAATGCAGGGGCCCCGGGTTCAATCCCTGGTCAGGGAACTAGATCCCACATGCATGCCGCAACTAAGAGCTCGCATGCCACAACTAAGGAGCCCACCTGCCGCAACTAAGATCAGGCACAACCAAATAAATAAAGAATAAAGATAACTAGAGGGCCCACTGGGCCCATTCATAACCAGAGCATGTCAACAGAATTTTAAATCAGCAAGATATATATACAGATATGTAGTAATTTTTGACTTTAGGCAAACAGAGTAATTAATAAAACTGTTAGCTCAAACAGTGAAACCTATCAATTCGTCTTTGCTAACTGAAAAGGAGAGGATAAATGGAAATGCCTAAGGCAATAATAGGCTGATATCTCATCCTCCATTCCTTTTAAAATAATATAAATGGGAGAACGTTGCTAGAAGGAACCCACATAACAATAGTAAGTTGTGAACTTGAAGTTAGCACCAGAGACGGCTTTTCAGCTTTCCCACAATCAACTTAATTTCTTGTGGCTGAAGAGTCTGTCCTCATTTTAGGAGACTCAAGGAGAACGCGGTGGGATTTTGGGGGGATTTTTTTGGCCACGCCACGTGGCTTGCGGCGGGGTTGCAGGGGGGGGGGGGGGGGGGAACCTTAGTTCCCCGACGAGGGATCGAACCCGGATCCCCTGCAGTGGAAGCGTGGAGTCCTAACTACAGGACGGCCAGGGAATTCCTGGGATATTTTTAAATGATGGTTTTCCCCATCGATTGTACACAGGATTAGTAAATGAAGACAAGTCCTTACGCTGAGGGACTGGCTTCTTGCAACTGTCCAGCATTGTGTCCCTGCTGCAATCCTTCTGAGAGGCCTCTTGACACTTCCAATCTCTGGCCACATCCTCAAATGTCACTGCCTCCTGAAATGACGCCAGCTGCTGCCACAGGGACGGTTCTGTCTCGGGTCCTGGGCTAAGGAGTAGCTGCAGCAGGACTAGGAAAGAGACAGTAGAGGTATTGGGAACAAAGGCGTGCCCACGTGCATGACTGAATGTCAGTCATGTGAGTACTACACAAAGAAAAGATAACGGAGGGAGAGGAAAGGTCTCATATCCAGCAAGATGAGTCCAGCTACGTGGGTGAGGAAGAGGGGTTTTGTCCTCCTGGGAGGTCTGTAGGCCTGACCTGTTTTGACACTGCCTGAGCTGAAGCCCACATATTTCCAGAACGAAGCAGAGAGTCCAAGAGAACTTGAGCACTCCAAGGCCGGGAGACACTTTCAGGTACAGGCTTGATGGTTCCGACGAGGCAGCAGGGCCTGTTTCAAGAAATGAAAAGATTACATCTAGGGACATAGAGATATGTCAGGAGATTATCATGCCAAAGAGATACCCCAAATGGAGTCCACACTCCACCAAGATTGGAGAATTCCTCCAGAAGAGAACTTGATACTCAGGTGTCTAAACCGAAGTTCCTTAGTTAGAACAACTCTGGAACACAGGATGGTGATGAGGCCAGGGGAAGAGTTCATGTGATGATCACAGGAATTCCAATAATCTTAGGAAAACAAGATCCCCGAGATGCCAGCCATCAGATGAAGAGCTGAGGGGTAGGGCAGAATCCTGAGAAGCAGAGAAAGATGGAAACATTTTTAAATATATATATATATATATATATATATATATATATTTATTTATTTATTTGTTTGGCCATGCTGGGTCTTAGTTGTTGCACACAGGATCTTGGTGTGGCATGCATGTGGGATTTAGTTCCCTGACTAGGGATGGTACTCGGGCCCCCTGCACTGGGAGTGTGGAGCCTTAACCACTGGACCACCAGGGAAGTCCCGATGGAAACAATTAAAAGCTCTGAGCAAGAGTCTCAGTTAAGCTGAGCCTGCTTCCAGATCCTGAATGTCCTCCACTAAAAAGGCTTTGAATTCCCTCGACTGGCATCACTGGTTAACCATGGAACATTCCTGATTCTAAAGACACTACTGACTGTAAAACCACTGACATAATGACAACTTTCTTTTGAGAGGAAAAACTGAGGCCCTATATTAAATGAACATATCCAGATGTTTTTTTTTTGCCACGCTGCACGGCATGCGGAATCTTAGTTCCCCAACCAGGGACTGAACCCGTCCGTGCCCCTTGCAGTGGAAGTATAGAGTCTTAACCACTGAGCCGCCAGGGAATTGCCCACACATCCAGATTTTTTTAAGGTGAAAAATATGCATTTCAGGATCGAAGAAACAGAATGTTTATAATATGCTCTTTAAGCCTGAGCTCAAGACCCTCAGTGCAAACTGACAATTTTTAAAGGCTCTGAGAGGTCCTGCAGTAAATAAACCAGTCTGTTTCATCCACCAGTCCCATATAATCATTGACATGGGGCTTTGTTTCCCAAAGAATATGTATTACCATACCACAGTCCTTAGAAGAGACTTGAAACCACAAGATATTCAACGGGATCCAGGAGGAGCACCTTCCAGACTCCTCATTGAAACCAGCATCTCTCAGAAATTGGCTGCACTGGCTGCTATTTGAGGCCCTTCAAGGAACTACACGGGAAGGAAAGGCCTCATCTCCATCCTATAAAAGAATGAAGAAGACACGCTAGAAATAGTTTATAATCAAAAGATGGAAAAATCTCAGTCTTTAATATGAGAAATGGTCCTTACCCTATACCATGAAATTCTAAAGCACAGCCCTAGAGTCACATTTGGCTAATAGACATATGTTGGTTAGTCTACCCAGTGTTTGTTTTTTAAAAATTGAATGGTTTACCTATATTTACAGACTGGGGAGTTCATATAAAAATCTAGGTTTCTGGCTTTCATGAAAAATGGGACGATCCAGTCATACTGGGAGCTTTGCTGCTTGGCAACAACTGGCTGGAGCAGAGAGGCAGCCACTCCCTTTAGATAGTCTACACTCTGTTTCCCACAGTCTTTAAGCCAGCTACTAACTATTCACCTCAGCTGCCCACCCCTGTAGTTACCTGAGTTTTCAACACCTGTTCTAAAGCAAAAGGAAAGAAACGAGGCCCCAAAGAAAGATGGCCAACTTCCTGGTGTGATCTGTGCTGGTGGGCTGATAAATGAGCTTGTTTAGAGAAAACTGGAAAGATCTTCCTTCCTCACCCACCTGCGAGTCTTTGCTTTGGCTGTCCCGGACCTGGAACAGGTTCTTCCAAATCACACCCAGCTCAAATCAGCATCCTTCCTGATGCACTCCGGCTGACTGCCATCTCTCCCGCCTCTGAACAGCCTGCACCACTCACTGGAGCGCTTTGCATTTTCAGTAGACTGGTTCAGGTGTACAAACCTAGAAGGCAGGGGCTGAGGCTTCTACCTCGCTGTATCCCCTCAGAGGGCAGATGAATACAGAGCTGAGACGAAAGATGTTCAAAGGGCATTTGTCAAACCCTTGGCTTACAGGTATAGAAGAGAGGCATTGCAGAGGCATGGTAAGTCAATTTCTGACGCTATCATTTACTGTGTGAGTAGGCTGGGCAAAGTTACTGAGGCTTCATTTTCCGCAACTATAAAATGGGGAGAATACCACTCTCCATCACAACGAGTTGTTGGGAAGACTCGGTGATAATGCAGTGTCCCCGCACCTTCCACAATACAAACTCCCGATTATTCCCGAAAACCTGGTTCGGGCATCAAGTCCTTTGTGCCGTCCTGGGTTCCGCGGTCTCGGCACCACCGCGCCAGGCTCCACGCGGGTTCCGCCTGCTAGTCGGGCCCGCCCACTCCTCCAAGGGCGGCCAACTCCGGGGGAGGAGTGAAATGAATGAGCCAGGCCAGCGGGAAGAGAGGCCGATCCGGGTGGTTTTGCAAAAGAGGGAGGTCCGGAAGGGAAAAGGAATACTCCAGGGCCGCTGTGCCTGGACCCCGCCCCACCCACGGCAGCGTCCGCCAGCGCCGTCCGGTCCTTTCCCGCCCGCGTGGGGCCGCGGCGGCTGAGGCCGGCCGTGCCGGCCGGAAGCGGCTCCGCGCCGGCCGGAAGCCCCGCCCCTCCCGAGGGCCAGTCCGCAGACACCGCGGCGGGAAGAAACCTTCCTCCTTTTCTCGGTTACGAAGGCTGTGTTCCGGGGTCCTGCCCAGCCTGCAGCGTGCTCGGCGGAAGCTGCGGTGAGATCACCGAGGTGATAGCTGGGGCCGGCCCAGGTGCGACCTTGGCTGAGCCAGCCACTAACTCAGGTCTCCGGCGGCGGCAAAATTGGTCACCTATTTCCACACGTTGTCGTAAAGGCTCCAAGATAAATAAATGCTCGCCTCCAGCCTGGAAAGTAAACCCCATTCATCGTCCTACACGTTTAAATGCTTAAGTCTAGAGTGAGGAAGGTGTTGCCAACAATTACTCTGTGCACGGTATCGCTTAATCCTCTAAGAGAAACTGCATTTTAGGTGAGCACTTTTTGCTTCAGATTGTAAGCTAAAGATTCGTTCTGGTCTAACAGCACTCACACAACATCAGTGCAGAAAACAAGGTTGTAAAGGGGGCCCTCGGGTATTCAGCTTTACCCCAAACTGCTGCTGCCTCTGTGAAAGAAAATCACTATTTTATCAGTCCCGATCTCGAAATATTGTTAGAAAGCATTTCAATCATTAAAGAACTGATGCTTGGGACTTCCCTGGTGGCGCAGTGGTTAAGAATCCGCCTGCCAATGCAGAGGACACGGGTGCGAGTTCTGGTCCTGGCAGATCCCACATGCTGCAGAGCAGCTAAGCCCGTGCGCCACAACTACTGAGCCTGTGGTCTAGAGCCCGCGCTCCCCAGCAAGAGAAGCCACCGCAATGAGAAGCCCAAGCGTAGCAACGAAGACCCAACGCAGCTAAAAATCAATTTTTTTAAAAAGAACTGATGCTCAAAGTTGGTTAAAAAACCAACTCTCTCTAAACAGTACTTTTCATTACTGGAATCAAGCCACAAGATAAGGGTAGTCCGCCCCTAGATAGCTAACATCACCTGAACTTCCCTGAAAACTGACCCACCGAAATCTAGTCAGCGTCTCAAAGCACCACACATAAACAAAGACTCTTCATTTTAACAGTTTTTAATGAAAGTTGTAAACAAGATCACTTCATTCCTGCATCTTCTCAATTGTTTCTTCCTTATATTTGCCCTTTTCCTTCCCTACTTGGCGAGACTTGGCTTTACGTTCGAGGATCTTTTTGCGGTCTTTGTCCAGTTTTAGTCTGGTGATAACCACCTGCAGACACATAAGAAAAAATGCTCCTGAGCTTTAAACAATTACCAACACAGAACACATGGGAAGCCCAACATTCAGTGCCATTCCCCACACCTGTGGGAGTGGATGCCTAAACACTGAAGCGCCATAAATGATTCCTTACCCCCAAACCTGGCTTAAATTTAAATGTTCACTAATGCTCAGCCAACAAAGGAGAAGGCAACGTGGCACTGGTGGTTCTTCTCACGTCCTCTTCTGTGCTTTATTAGAAAATCAGCTTTTTCTACTGCAAAACGTTTCAACTATTCCACTCCTCTCAGTTTTATAAGCTAACAAAATCATACACGTTTTTGTTTCTATAGTAACGTTAGTACCACAAGGTTGGAAATTAAATGTAGCCTTCACACATGCTTCAACCTGCAAAACCTTTAGTGAAGTCATTGAACAGACCTTATTCCAACAGATTTGTCACTAAAGACACCCAGATTATGATAAATTTTAGTCTTAGAGAGGAAGGTGAGGAAAGGCAAAGACAGCACTGAACAAGGTCTGGAAATATAGCATAGCGACCAAAAGACAATCTCCACCGCCATGGAGGTTATATCTAATATGAGATGGAATGCTGGAGGACAGGGGCCAAATCATAATCGAGATCAGGCAAAGCCTCACGGAAAGGTCTATATTTGAACAGAGACCTGATAAGAGGGGTAGAGTATTCCAAACAGAACAGCAAGCACAGAAGTCCAGAGGCAGAAGAATTTCTAAGTTTAACAGGTGTGTTTCTCAAATTTGAGTGTGTCTGGAGGGCTTATTAAAATAGACCCCTGGGTCCCACCCCCAAATTCTGCTTCAGTAGACCTGGGAACAGAATGTACAATTCTATGAAGTTGCCAGGTGATCCTGCCAACCAGCAGACACACTGAGTAGCATGGCTGTAGGAACAGTAAAGAGGCCAGTGGACTAGAACACGGAGAGTGGAATAAGGTGACATCAAGAAGTAGCTGGTGATGGGACTTCCCTGGTGGCGCAGTGGTTAAGAATCCGTCTGCCAATGTAGGGGACACGGGTTCGAGCCCTGGTTGGGGAAGATGTGGGGTGCTGCGGAGCAACTAAGCCCGTGTGCCACAACTACTGAGCCTGTACTCTAGAGCCCATGAGCCACAACTACTGAAGCCCGTGTGCCTAGAGCCCGTGCTGTGCAGCAAGAGAAGCCACCGCGATAAGAAGCCGGTGCACCACAATGAAGAGTAGCCCCCACTCGCTGCAACTAGAGAAAGCCTGTGCACGCTGCAAGGAAGACCCGATGCAGCCAAAAATAAATAAATAAATAAAAAGAAGTAGTAGCTGGTGATCAGTCTTGTAGGCCACTCAGATGGTAACAATATTCTGGATACAATGTGACAGCAGTCAACAGGTCTTATCGACTGATGTGGCGTATATAATAATGACATTTTGGCCTGAGCCATTAAGACAAAGCTGCCACACACAGTGACGGTAACAAACTGCAAGAGGGTTCAAGGGTAAAACCAGGAGTTTAAACATGTCAGGTATGAGATACTGATTGGGTATCCAAGTTGACATGCAAACTAGTCAACTGGATATTGAGGTTTGTCTGGAATAAGAGATGAAGATGAGCCACGAAGAGGGAGATCAACTGTCAAATGCTGCATTAAGTTCATAAAACACTAAGAATTGGTCACTGGATTGCTGACCTTGACAACCGCTCATCTAGTTGGGGGCAAAAATAAGACTGCAGTAAAGAATGCGAAAGTCTTCGCTCTTAAGAGATACACACTGAAGTAATTAGAGGTGAAGTGCCACGATGTTTGTAATCCACTAGTGGGTAGGGAAAAGGGCAAAGAAAATGGTAGTTGTGAATTCTAGGTGAAAGATATGCAACAGCTGTACTAGTCTTTCGACTTTCCCGTAGTTTGAAGATTAGATTTGTGGTGCCAACTCAAGATCTTAAAAAAACAAACACCTCATTATTTGAATAGGCACCAAGCACATTTATTACCTTTATATTAAACATATTTTTTTAATTGAGAGAAATTAGACAGCTGTATTGGAGAATTCACATTAAAGTCCAGGACATGAGAATCAGACCATTATCTTCTATTTTGGCTTAGATACCACTTAGATACCACTATCAATGGGATCTAGACTCTGAGGTCCAGATTTTTTCCATCTGCAAATGACTTAATACCTACTTTGCAGGGCTGTAAATGTGCCTTACTGTTTACTCAGTTCTGTTTAATACACAGGCTATCAGCTCCATATCATCTAAAAATTACCCGATTTCCTATATTCCTATTCATTTTTAGATTGATCGATCAGCTTACTAATAGCTTTTAAGGAAAAGGTACATTAAATACACATACAGAATAACTGTTAAAATTTCCTTCTCCCCTCTCAAGCATTCTTAAAAACACCCACCTTACTGGGGTGAATGCCCACGTGGACAGTTGTGCCATTAGCCTTCTCCCGCTGCACTCGTTCAATGTAGATGACATACTTCTTCCTGTAAACCTGGACTACTTTGCCAATTTGCTGCCCTTTGTAGTGCCCTCGTACAACCTAAATGCAAATTCAAAAGTAAAAGATATATGTGGTTAAAAGAATATTAAACTTGAAAATCAGGAAACCTATGAATCAGATAAACATCATTCACTTTATCAGATATACAGGATCTTCCAATTTTGAAAGACCTAATCATTAATGGAAATGTGCCAATAATTCTATCTCTGGCTTCAATTAACCTGGAAATAAACTATGCTCCATATAAATCTACAGTGACAGTGCATCCTACAACTGATGACCCACCAGCAGTGGTGGGCTTGTTAAAAGGTTAAAAACGAGGAACAAGCCCACCTTGGTTTTTTGTACCAAGTTGACAAGGAAACTGTCACTCCATCTCAAAGGGAACAACAGGCCATAAATATTAAATTCACAACCCATTAAAGGGCCCAACTAAGTGCCAAAGAGTGGGCAGCAGCTAATATTTACGGAAACATGCCACTTCTTTCCCTGAGGTTAACTAACATCGTTCTGTACCCGCAAGTCCCAACGACCCTCAGCTTGCCAAAGTGCTTCTGAACAGATGTTTCTTCCCAGTTGCAGAAAGCAGAGGAGACTGCCTCCAAAACCTACTGGCAATTTTAGCACCAGCACAGGAGCGACAAATGGCTATTCATCTCATGAAATGCTGGTAACGTGTCAGCTGCTTTAGAGACTGAATCTTAATCACCAGCTGCAAGTTACAGCTAAGAAACATTAACAGGAATTTTCGCTTAAATAGACTTGACGAATTATTTACTGGTACTCTCAAACAATCATATGAAACTACAGCTCAGTTGTAACTTACATATGGATTTTGATTCAGACACAGAATTGTTTACTGGTCCTCAAATGCCTCTCCAATGCCCAAACATACCCAGAAAAAGATAACTCCAAAAGTAAGATTCTGGTTCCAAACCCCCTGTCTTCTGTTTAATTATGACTGCATCTGACGCTTGAGACAACTGATTTTCACCAAAGTGTAAAGGTGAAGAAAGCTGCATACTTTTTGGTTAGTCCCCAGCTCAACTCCTTTTGCAATCCTGTTCTGGGAGCCAACGTCTCAGATGTATCACTCTCAGAATGCAATCCATCGTCTATGCCTAACGTGCGGGATATTCGCCAAGATGACCTGAACACGGCACATACCTGAACTTCATCATCCTTCCGGATGGGCATGGATCGGACATTGTACTTCTGTCTCAGCTCTTTAGAAAGAGGGGAAGACATAATTTTCCTGCGAATGTGGGAAGGCGCATTGAAATGCCTTTTCCGGTTCTTGCTTCGGTCAGAAGTCACAAAGGGATTGAACTTCATTTCGGCTAAATAAAAAGTTAAAAGAGGTGCAAACCCTTAAATGACCAAATCTCACTCAGTTTACAAACAAGTAACTGCAACAATTTCATCTGGAAAGTTTAGAATGCTCACAAAAGCTGTCACATTCTTTAACTTCATCAAAAACTGCTTGTAGTGAATTGCTTTACTGGAATGTTTTCTGTATTTGCTTATGGAACAGAAGAACGTTCCATTACCAACACACCTGTTGTAATTAAACTTTTTGTTTACACTCTCAAACTGCATAACTACTGCGTAAGGAAGCTAAAACAGGCCTTATATTTCCGCTGAATTAGGGCAAAGCAGACTGACAACTCAAACATCACATCACGTTTTAGAAAGACCAACCAACGTTAATCTGCGAACTTGAGCGTGAACACATTTAGCCCCATCCCAAATGAATGAAATCAGGCCCTCATCCCGAACCTGGAAAATGCACATAACTCGGATCCAAAAAGCCTTCCAACGGGCGAGCGCCGTCTGAAAGTTCTGTAGATTTACCAAGAAGCTATCCCGAGACCATTCTTTAGGAAACTACACTGCCCAGACTAGACTCCATCACCAT